GATTCAGCAATAGCTTAAACAATTATTATTTATCAAAATACATTTTTGTAATTTTTTAATGATTCTAGCGAATAATGTTAAAATTGGTTTGTGCAAAAATAATTATTCCTATGTATATACTTAATACTATCTATAAAAAAGAAACGATAGCAGATCAAACGGAGATTCAATTATAGATTAGGCCTGGTAACGTACCGCATTCACAATGTTGGGACACGTGAATAAATAAACACAATTACTTTGCACAAAAGAGTAATCGCTATTGATTCTGTACATAAACGCGGCCATCGAATATTGAGTCGCAAACTTTTGCAAATGGTTCATTTTTGGGTAAATCGATTTTTTTCGTAAGGATCGATTTTCAACGCTCTAATAATAGCTTTGGACACAACAAAGAACATACATCAATTCAAGTGTCAAAAACTAACATCTGCGCATTTCTCTATAAACATAGTAAAATATTGGGGGTTCTAACAATCGATCGTTCTTTAGGGTATTTTCTGGTACGGAGTCAGTGTTTATGACATATTATTTTGTATGCAGCATTGCTTAATAGTCTTTAGTGATTCCAAGATTTATTAAAAATTACCAAATTAATTAAAATTTATGTAAATCTGATTTTTTTTAAAGATTTTTTGTAGTTTTTTTTTAGAGTTTAAATCACACCGCATTATAATTAACATTTTAAATTAATTAACTATTTTACATGGTGGAGCCATACTGCAGTTATATTTATTACGTGGTAGAACCATGCTGCAGCTAATGTGGTAGGGCCACGGCGACCTCTTCAACTCCGATCCTGTCGTTTGTGTGCTCGTGCATGGCTAACATAGCCGATCTTATTTACAAATGTTCGCGCGCAATGCGGGCAGGTGAGCACACCGTTACAGAAATTGTAGTTAATCGCACAAGGTGGGCGTGCTTTGAGTTCATCACGTCGGGCATCCAATTCAGAGCAGCGATTCTCCTCAAACATTTTGACCTTGGCTTTCACCAAAGACCTCCACTCCGGTCGTCGAGCGGCTGCTTGCTCCCACTCTAAAGGTTCAATGTCGCACTTCTCCATGTGGCGTTTAAGTACATCTTTGTACCTGAGGAGTTGTCCGCCATGTTTACGCTTGCCCTTCTCAAGTTCAGAGAAAAAGATGCACTTTGCCGTACGCTGGACTGACATTCGCGATAAGTGTCCACACCAACGAAGTTGTCGCTCTATAAGGTAGGCCTCAATTCCCATGGTATGGGCTCTACGCAGCACTTCCGTGTTTCGAGTGCGATCAGACCAACGGATGTTGAGAATTTTGCGGAGCCATTGCAAGTGGAAGTGATCCAGCGTCCGTATGTGACGGCGGTAAACTGTCCATGACTCTGAAAGTACAATATGTTAGGCAGCACTACCGCCTTATAAATGTCAATTTTAGTAGCCAGCTTTAGGTCATGTGAACCAAAGACCTTGCGATCCAGTTTACCGAATACCGCAGCAGCGGCACCGATCCGACTGTTGATTTCAGCATAAAGGTCACACTTTGATGTTATCGTGCTCCCCAGATAACGAAATGTATAGATTTACTTAAGTATGTCATCACCGAGTTTGATGGCAAGTGTCTCTTGACCGTAGATATCTAAAGACATCACTTCCGTCTTTTTAACACTTATCTTTAGACCAAAACTACGGCACGACTCATGAAAGGTGGTCACGAGCTGTTGCAGGCCAGCTGGGGAATCAGTCACAAAACATAGATCATCTGCGTAGACGATCTCTGTAATAAGTGCGTAAGACACTTTCGTACGAGCCTTAAGTCTGTCTAAGCTGAAAAGATTGCCATCATTGTGGAAACGAATGCGGATACCTTCAGGGTAGTTTTTAAGACTTCCTGGACTACAATTGCAAAGTACAACGCGAAAAGTGTGGGTGCAAGGACACACACTTGTTTTACCCCACAGGTAACGGGAAAAAATTCTGACTGATCAGCGTTTACTACGACGCAGCTCAGCATGTCGTCATGCAGGAGTCTCATAAGTCTCACGGACTTCTCCGTGCATCCAATTTTCAATTTTCAATCGAATGCTTTCTCAAGGTCTACAAAACAGAGATACATATTACGACCCTGTTCTCTGCTTTTTTCCTGCACTTGACGCAATGAGAAAATCGCCTCACAGGTACCACGGTCTGGTCGAAAGCCGAACTGGGATTCCGGCAAAATCCTTTCAGAAAGTTTCCTGAGGCGGTTTAATAGAAGTCTGGCGAAGATTTTTCCAGGCACAGAAAGTAGAGAAATGCCACGGTAAGAATTGCAGTTCGACCGGTCACCCTTGCCCTTATATAGGGCTCGTATGAGGGATGCCTTAAAAGTATTAGGAACTTATTCTTTTTCCCACATAACGACAAAAAGTTCCCATATCGCCGAATACAAATACCCACCGCCATACTTCAATAATTCACCCGGTATAAAATCAACACCAACCGCGCGTTTATTTTGCTGTTGCTTAATGGCAAGAGCAACCTCGTCAGGCGAGACTGGCTCATCGAGCTCGAGGGCGAAAGGTTGCTGAGGTAGGCAGCGAACATGGTCTAGGTCAACAAAAATCAACACCAACCGCGCGTTTATTTTGCTGTTGCTTAATGGCAAGAGCAACCTCGTCAGGCGAGACTGTTTCATCGAGCTTGAGGGCGAAAAGTTACTGAGGTAGGCAGGGAACATGGTCTAGGTCAACAAAACTCGCATGACAAGCGAAAGATAAGTGGTGGCAGGAGAAGGCTCGTCAGATGCAGTGGCTCGCTGATACCAACCAACTCGGTGAGTTTTATGCTGAGGTGCGACATATACTCGGTACGTCCACTATGGCAAAAGTTCCACTGAATTCAACTAGTGGTGAAGAGCTTTTTAAAAGCAGGGAGGAAAGCAGCGATGGGCGGAGCATTTCAACACCCTGCTTAACGTGGATCATTAGTCGTATAGTTGTAGCACAAATGGGTCGACTCGACCGGGGAAGGAGGCTCTCACAGAATACCAGCGTCAAATAGTAGCTTAATTCTGCTGTGTTTCATATGGTGAGTGTAGAGAACCAGAGACCCTTTTTACTGGAAACGAGGCATTCCATTTAAGTCCTCACGGGTGACAATGCGTCCGCATTTAGATTCGTAATCGAGGATAGATGTAGATGTCTATGAGCCACAGCAACCACTTACCATCAGGTGGACTGTGTGCTCGTTTGTCATATATATATAATATATAATATAAACACTCACGCCTGTCACCCAGAGGGGTAGGCAGAGACTACGGACTTCCATTTGGCACGATCCTGACATACCTCTTTCGCCTCCTTTACATCCATATATCTACGCATACATGCTCGTCGGTTAAGGGTACTTCTAACGTGGCCCATTTTCAAAATATCGCCAATAAACTTTTTCCTAGGGCGTCCCTTCCCGACTTGGCCATTCACATCTGCCATATAAATTTGCTTTGTCACTCTTTCCTCATTCATTCTTTCTACGTGACCAAACCACCGAAGCATTCCTTTCTTAATCCTGGTCACAACATCATCTTGCATACCACATTTATCTCTTATCACGCAATTTCTCACCCTGTCATTCAGATTACACCCTAGCATATTCCTTAAAGACCGCATTTCTACAGCATTTATTCTACTTTCGTGCTTCTTCTGCCACACCCAGCTTTCACTACCATACATTAAAGTAGGGACTAACACAGCATTATGAATTACCATACGTGCCTGTTTTGACAAATTCTGGTTCTTCATAATAGAGTGTAGTGCCCCATTCACTCTATTCCCTGCATTTACTCGTCGTTCTATATCCCTATCATATCTACCATCCCTGCTAAATACACATCCCAAATACACAAACTCATCCACTTGCTCAATCAACTCTCCTTCTATTCTTATTTCACATACCGTTTTGCTTTCTTCTCTTTCAAAAACCATCACTTTCGTCTTACTTGCGTTCACTTTCATTCCCCTTTCTTTTAATTCCCAGTTCATTAATGTAACCATCATTTGCAACTCTGCCGCCGATGACGCAAGTATGACTTGATCATCGGCATACAAAAGGCATTTGACGGTTAACTCGCCCATTCTTAACCCACATTCTTCATCTTTCAAAGTTTGCAAACACCGGTCCATAAATAGGTTGAACAGCCAAGGGGAAGCCATACAGCCCTGTCTGACACCTTTTTGGATGCCAAACCAGTCCGAGTAGACCCCATTGATCCTGACACAGGCACTAGAGTCCCTATAAAGAGACCTTAATGCCTGTATCAAACCAGCGCTCAACCCATATGAGTTCAGTGTTTGCCATAACACATTCCTGTCCACTCTGTCATAAGCCTTTTTTTTTTCGTTTGTCATCTTATCGTATAAAAAAATTAATATATTCATTTGTTGTAATGATTTAAGGTTAAATAAATTTCCTTTACGTTTTGAAAAAATAAACACACATACACACCCATACATATCATAGCATTAGTGTCGTAACAGTTGACGGATGGAATGGAGATAAAACCAACCTGATATCAACTTGCATGTTAGCAACCCGCCGGCCAAGCGTGGCAACTATGGCAAATATCCCCCTTATTATTATAATATATTTTTTTCGTATGTAGACTGCGACTTTTCTTTAAGTCGAAATTCGGACAGCACTTCAGTCTCGTATTCTAAAACAGGGTTGCGTCATTATATCTCCAGACTACTACTTTGCTTAGCTTGTACTGTTCAAAGACACTCAACTTAATTTTCACAGACTGATAACGGGGAGGAGTTGTAACACCTGCACTGTAAACGAATGAGGGGAACCCTTACGATCTCACTTGCCTATTGGGTTGAGCATGCTACTGCATAGACCGTTTTTCGAAAGACTTATTAAAAGTCTTTCGAAAGACTTATTAAAAGTCTTTCGAAAAACGGTCTATGCAGTAGCAGCAGATTAAAATACCGCCACAGAATTTAAAATATTTTACTAACTTGTACGAACTTTTTTGTAGGTCCAGCTCAAGGCGGCATTAACGATGATTATGTAGGCAGCGGGGAAGCGCCGTATATCATAGAACAGCCCGTAGACGTCACCGTAGCGAGGCATCAGCCTGCCACATTAAACTGCAGAGCTGGTGGTTCACCTTCACCGACAATAAGATGGTACAAAAGTGGAACGCTAGTTGTTTCCGATACTCATCGAAGTCTATTACCAGCTGGAGACTTATTCTTTCTAAGAGCCACGCATGGCAGAGCGCATTCAGATGCTGGAGTATATTGGTGTGAAGCAACAAATCCTTACGGAACCGCTAGAAGCAGAAATGCTACGTTGCACGTTGCTGGTAACTATTTTATCATTATTTTCTTCATTTCTTGAATTTTTATTACAATTTAAATAATTTATTGGTGTGCAGTACTTCGCGAAGAGTTTCGTCTAGAGCCGGTTACAACGCAAACGGCTCAGGGTGAAACTGTGATATTAGAATGTTCGCCACCTAGAGGGTCTCCAGAACCTTCAGTGTATTGGAAAAAAAATGGACAAATACTGCACTTTGACGGTGACACAAGGTGAATAAATATATTTTTTACTACATTTTATTTTATCAATTATATTATGCTAATATAATTACATATAGTGTACCTATGGTAGTGAAAGTTGGGTGTGGCAGAAGAAGCACGAGAGTAGAATAAACGTAGTAGAAATTCGGTTTTTAAGGAGTATGTTAGGGCTGAATCTGAATGACTGTGTGAGAAATTTTGTGATAATAGACCGGGAGCTGGTGACAGGTGATGTTCCACGATTTTGTCGTGCATGCCTTTTTAAGGCTTGCTAAAATATCAAAGATTGTCGGGGCTTTAGCCCCCCCGCGCGTCCTCTTCATAAGGAAAAGCGCTTTTCTTTGTGTAGCGAATTTTCGTGTTTTTCTATGATAGTACACTGCATGCCCTTGTAATATACGGAAGTTCAAGCAAATTGAAGCTCTAATAATTGATGGCATGCACCCCGCAGCGGCCCAAGATGATCAAAGGGTTCAGAAAACCTGAAAAAAATTAAAGGGCAATTGCGTGTTTTCAAATTGCATGCCGATGTAAAGAATGGAAGTTTTTGTAATAAAAACACTCTGAAAAAATTGGCTTGCACCCCTCGTATGACGAACGGTGGAAAATTTCAGGAAAACTCTGTAAAAATTGAACTCCGATTTTCCGTGATTCCAAACTGCATGCCATGGTCATACGAGGGGTGCATGCCAATTTTTCCAGAGTGTTTTTATTACAAAAACTTCCATTCTTTACATCGGCATGCAATTTGAAAACACGGAAGTGCCCTTTAATTTTTTTTAGGTTTTCAGAACCCTTTGATCATCATGGGCCGCTGCGGGGTGCATGCCATCAATTATTAGAGCTACAATTTGCTTGAACTTCCGTACATTACAAGGGCATGCAGTATACTATCACGGAAAAACACGAAAATTCGCTATACAAAGAAAAGCGCTTTTCCTTATGAATAGGACGCGCGGGGGGCTAAAGCCCCGACAATCTTTGATATTTTAGGGTTAGTTATCAAGCCTTAAAAAGGCATGCACGACAAAATCGTGGAACGTCACCTGTTACCAGCTCCCAGTCTATAAGAGAAGAGTGTGGTTTGCAAGATGATGTTGTGACCAGGATTAAGAAAGGAATGCTTCGGTGGTTTGGTCATGTGGAAATAATGAATGAGGAAAGAGTGACAAAGAAAATTAATGTTGCAGAAGTGAATGGCAGAGTCGGGAAAAGACGTCCTAGGCTAAAATTTATCGACCAAATTAACGATTTATTGAAAACGGGCCAAATTGGGAGTACCCTTAATCGACGAGCATGTATGCGTAGGTGGAAGTCTCTGCCTACCCCTCTGGATGACAGGCGTGTGTATATGTACAATTTTACGTGTGGACTGCATACAGTTCTATTTTTATGGTACTGATTTTAATGGTCGAGATTTCTAAGTTTAGTGAAAATTATTTCGATCGCTTTCAACTGACTATATTTTATATGTATAGCAATGATTTTTTTTTTCTGTACAAAATTATATAATACAGAGACATATCGGTATTAATACCTAATTTTAATAAGAAAAAATGGTTTGGTCTATTAGTTTTCCACAGTTTTGCATTAAAAAATAAAAAAGATATTTAAAATTTAATTTAATTTTTTACGTAAATTCAAAAAAAAAAAAGTATTTATTTGTATAGTAATACAGGCGTAAAGCTTAGCTTAGGCCCCAGTCTCCCACAGTATAACATTAAGGTGTAATATTTTAATATTATGTACAATAATTCTGTAATATTTTGGTGAGAAAATAAATCATTTATTATTATTATTATTATTATTTAGTTATAAGATAAAATCTTATGGATTTCTGATTCGCTGAATAAGAAAATAATAACGCCAGAGTAGGGGATATTTGAAGAGCTCGACAAGCAATCAAATAAAAATCTGAATAGTTCTTTCTTACCGGACCCTTTATTGAATGTTAATTTCCTTCGCAATTATTCCGCCCTATATTTAAATAACTTTTGTAACGTCGTGCTTTATGAGAACGGTCTAAAACCCGTACTATATTTTTTTTGTAATTATTTCATGTTTAATCTCTATTTCAGAATGCACTTAGTCGACGGTGGAAGTCTTGTTATACAAGATGCTAGACAAACTGATAATGGTAGGTATCAGTGTATTGCGCGTAATGCAGCTGGTACTAGGGAATCTACCATAGCTACATTAAAAATTCACAGTAAGTACTTTTACATATTCTAATGTGAAGTTTGAAAAAAAGTAAAACTTTTTTTCGTCGTCGTTTTTTGTACCTATATTTATAACTAACACAATTTTTTTAACTTACATACATACTAAAATATACTGAAATATGGTAACGATTATTTAATTTCTTGTTTCATTTAAATAGTTAAGCCGTATTTGATCGCTGGGCCTGATGATGTAGTCGCTGAGACTGGGGGTAGCGTGACATTCCAATGCCGAGTGGGTGGAGACCCCCTCCCTGATGTTCTATGGCGACGGACAGCAGGCGGTGGAAACATGCCCCTCGGTCGCGTGAAAGTTTTAGACGATAGAAGTCTCCGACTAGACAATATCGTTTTAGGAGATGAGGGAGAGTATACGTGTGAAGCCGATAATTCAGTCGGCGCAGTGAGTGCAAGTGGTTACTTGACCGTCTACGGTACTTTTGTTTTAAATTTATATTTCAGTTAATTTTTTTAACAAATGTGTTACTAAGTAGTTCGTATTTTAATTTTTTAGATCCACCAACAATAAATTTAAAGCCAAATAGTGTGATCATTGGAAGCGGCTCAGCCGCAACGTTTACTTGCACATCTTTTGGCACACCTGAGCCTACTATATTCTGGAGTATGGAAGGCAACCGGACAATTATACTTCCAGGCATGTCAAAAAGCAATTATCATGCTTCGTCGGTTGTTAATGGAGTTACAATACTGACAATTAATGATACGAATAAGAACGATAGTGGAAGCACGATAGTTTGTTCCGCGGTCAACTTGGCTGGCAGTTCATTCATAAGAGGGAAACTAACCGTGACTTCGGACGATGATCGCCCTCCCCCAATCATAACAAATGGTCCTTCTAACCAAACATTACCTATAAAATCGATGGCAGTTTTTCCGTGTTCAGCTATTGGCACACCTGAACCAATAATTGCTTGGTATTTTGAAGGAAAAGCGTTGATACAAAATTATAGAAGGAATGTATCAAGTGATGGCACACTCATTTTAAAAGATTTGAATAAAGATGATACGGGTACATACACGTGTGTTGCTTCTTCGCCGCAAGGAAAATATGTTTGGAGCGGTGTTTTGACTGTAGATAACCCTATAAATCCCAATATACATTTCTTTAGAGCTGCAGATACTTCTGCATTACCTGGGCCACCTACAAAACCACAAATATTTAATATAACAGAAACAAGTGTAACCCTTATTTGGAATCAAAACAATAAAATAGGGTCGTCTTCAATATTAGGATATCAAGTAGAAGTATTCTCTAGGGAAACTCTTTCAGGAAACAATACACCTAGAAATTCTCGTGGGTGGGTAACTGTTGCTAAAAGAATACATCATACACAATATAGTGTGAAGTCCTTAATACCTGGTATTACGTACATGTTTATTATTAGAGCAGAAAATTCACATGGATTGTCTGGACCCAGTCCTGTTTCCGATTCGGTAAGAGTTGGAGAGGATAATCTATGGCCTAATGGAATATTTTCTAATAACACTGAATTTAGAAGTAATATAATGACTGATAATATAGTAGACCTCATAGAAGCAACTCCAATTGATTCTAAAACTATAAAACTCATGTGGGAAATATTGAACTTCTTTTATTTAGAAGGTCTTGTTATATACTTTCGAGCACTAGATAATAGAACTGAGGAATATGAAATGAAAACTATTTTTCATTCTAACGATGTTTCTGGATATGAAATAACATCTTTGCGGAAATACACGAAATATGAATTTTTCCTTATACCATTTTATAGAAGGTTTGAAGGCAAACCATCAAATTCTAGAGTCGCGCAAACTTTAGATGACGGTAATTTTAAATTACTTATATCTAAATATTACCTCAAAATTACATATGGCTAAATAACTTAACCATTTATTTTTTATTTCAGTACCAGATGGACCACCTACTAAGATAGAGATGTTTATATTGAACTCTACAACAGTTCATTTAAAGTGGTTACCTCCAGAAATTAATGTGCAAAATGGAGTTATTATAGGTTATAATGTAATTGTTAATTGGTTAGATATACCTGTAAATAAATCTATGATCGCTATAAACACAACAGTTCAACAAGCAACTAGTCTTATAATGACAAATTTAACATCAGGAGTTAGTTATTCTGTTCAAATTGCAGCCGAAACATTAGTCGGTTTAGGCCCTTTTAGTCAAAAGTTATATTTTAACACAGATTCTCGATTAATCGGATTAGATCCAATATCAAGGTAAATATGACTTTAAATTGGGTATATCCTTATGAATATATTTAATAGGGTTTTTGTTTAAAAATAAAAAGAAAGAAGAAAACACTTTAATTTTTTTTTCAGATACCCCATAAATGGAGAAGTCTCTATAGTTGCTGGAGATTTTGTACTTGAGTCGTGGTTTTACTTTCTTATTGGTGCTGTAATACTATTTAAAATAATTATGATTGGCGGTATTATTTATGTCCGGAGGCACAACATTTTTGCAAAAAAATCTGCTCTACCAAATATATATGGTAAATATATTTTAACAACAATAATTGTATTTACTTATATTTCAGAAGTTATGGTGATTACATGTCTGTATTGTTTTTATAAACAATACGCATCAGAATTTTAAAATTAAAAACATTCCTAGGGTGTTAAGGGGTGGAACAGGTCCCGAGCATTTGTTTGATGGAGGCCTTGCCATGCGACGGGGAGTGAGGGGTGCTAGATTACTTTTGAGTTGAAAGGTAGCACGAGCCCTCTTTCGTGAGCGTAGTAGATCTCTTTCACTTTAAATTCACGTTTGGAGTACAAAGGAATGATATAAATTCAAAAAAATAAAAGATTTTCTTTTGTTAATGATCCTCTCATAAATTTAGTCATTCATAATTTTAAGGTAGTGCCTTGTTATAATTTAAAGTCAATTTTTCTAATAATTTCTTAAAATATATAACTAAATTAACTAATTATAATGAAATTTAGACTTCGTAATTATAAGAAAAATAAAAACAAGTCTGGGATCATTCCCGACTCAAATTACGCAATGTCATTTTTGCAAATTATAGTTTTTTAAATTTATTTTTAAAATTATTTATTAATTTTAGTAAAATGTATTATAATTTTAGATTCCAATGGAACAAGTTTAGTTACTCAAATGAATATAAAAACTGCAGTGTCGCTATCTCATCCATTAAGTAGCTGCTATAATAAAAACACAGTAACAAAAACAGAATCATTATTATGGATGGAAAATCAGCCTGGGCTGTGTATGTCCAGTAATCATTCAACTCAAAATAAGGATAAGACAATTACAGAATATACCAAAGCATCTCATCCACTACCTGAATATGCTGAAGTATCATCTTCAAGAGTAAACGGAAATGAGTGGAATACTACTAAAACCGTGAATAGTCCTGCAGCATACGCTTCAGTAACGCTAGTTGCTAACACCCGGCAATGTGTCAGCTCACTGGTAACATTTTTTTTATTTAACCATTAGCTACTTTTGCATTATTTCAATTCTTACAATGTTTTATAACATTTTCAGGGTTGGTTCCCTCCAGGAAGTAAAAATATTGATAACTCTTATATGCCAGATGAAGAGTTATATCCTGCTAGCAATGGTGGATATTACAACAGAAACGTGTACAGTGAGAAATACTTTCAAGGTCATCCAAATGTATTGAAATTTCACGACTTGCCTGCATTAGAAAAGACATCGAAAGCTCAAATGAGATATAACCAGAGCTTGGAAGAAAGAAAAGGTGACAGAAATATTATAAAAACAGACGTGACCCAGTCATTAATAGGTGGAACGTGTGGTTCGAGAAACAACTCTGAATCTGAGACAACTTATAGGGCATTTGGTGAAGAAGAATCCGATGAAGAAAATTACGTTGAAGGTCTGGAATACGATGAATTAAATCAACGAATACAAAGGACTAAACATCAATATGAAAGGCCCAATTTTGACAACGATGGCACTAGAACACTAGCTCAGTTGACGTCATTTAGACATGGGCAGACAGTTTTGAGTGGCGCTTCACAACTGTCGTTAGTACCTACCCACCCACCTCCGGCACCTCACCCGCGTGTTGATTCAGTGACACGGTAGTATCACGCCTTGCCGGTTTTCGGCGATTTGTGCCAAACGGACGTTTAGACCGACTTGTATTGCAACAGTGCATGTACGTGATATCGTAAGAGGGATCGCAGTTCTTCCTTACACTGTAGTAATTTTGATGCTAATGTAACACAAGTTATTCAGTGTTAATTTATTTGATTATACTGTCATATTTTCTTTTTAGTAAAATGTAAGGAACTTGGCCTAATAAATTATTTATACATACAGTATGATGACTTCATACTGTATGTGTATTTTATGTGTATAGTACATTATATGTCATTATTCTTTTCCTCTTATAACTGTAATTCAATAAACAACTAGTCTTTTGTACAAAATTTTATTGTAAATAATGTATATTCTATAATATTGATATTAAATCCTAAAGATTAAAATTTTAACCTTAAGTATAATAAAAACAATAATATATGTAATAATTATTTGTAACAATTACTACTGGGATTGAATAAAATCGATTGTCCGTCTTTATATCGATAAACGAATTTGTAACCTTAATATCATTAGTGTAAGTGTTTAGAAACAGTTAAAAAATACGCTTCGCATTGATTGAATGTAACTTACAGTCCACAGTATTGTAAATATTTATGTAGAAGTAAAACGCATTTCAGAAGTCAATTTCAGTTTATTTTCGCTAATAAATATTGTATGATTAATCATGTTTAAATTACGCGTTCAAAAATGGTCTACGTAACAATTTATATCATATAAATACAAATACGAAACCACGAGTATATTTAAGGTAACATACGATTTAATTGTTGGTAGATCGAATAGACTGTTGTAGAACTTTTAGACTAAATAAAAATTAGAACATTACTACCATATGTTAGTGATACTCCGTTTAGTTTTATTTCGAGTGCCATAAGACTTTATTCCTGTTATAAAAACAAGTAACATTGGAGTTGTGAAATGAAATTCAAATGAAGCTTTTACAAATGGAAATTTTTATCTACGTAAGTTAATGTGATATGAGTTAAAGTATAACCACTTGTTATAATGACGACATAGCACGACTTGTATCATTGCATATCATATATGTTAAGTAAGTTATAGCTAAAACAATGTTAATTAATTAGGGCGCTTCTGTCTCTGTATTAACATTATTATCATGTACATAATTTGTATAACGCGTCCGACAACTTTTTTCTACTTCAAACTTATTGACCCATTTGTAAACTGTGGTATAAAAAACAATCGTCTTTTTCGTTTCAAACGTTTAAATATATTTCAGCAAAAAATATGAAAAAAGACAACTATAATATGCGTATTTTTGCGTATTATAATATGCGTTCCAAGGAAACTTCACAAATATTTTTATTTAAATGGGAAGACTGGTATGATGTAATTCCTTGGAATCATAACAATAATCACTATTATTACTTAATTTAATATTAATTAGTATTGTTTTAAAGTTGGCGGAAAGGGTTTTGTGTTTAGAAATATTCAAAAAAAATTTACTACACAAATACGAAACATAAAGTTCACTCTATTTCATTGGAGTGAAGTTGTACTGACTTCAAAATAACCTTATATTTCATACTTCGATAGCAATACCGACAGTGCAACTGATTGTTTTAACTGTGGTTGATATAAGTGTGTTTCACTATGTTCTTTAACATAAAACGAGATAATAACATAAAAAAGATATTGGTTTATAATCGATTTTTATTTATCAACTACCTTCAACTAGGGGTCACATAGGGCGGTTAAGACACTTACACATTACAACGAAACGTCAAAATAAAGTAAACCACGATTTCCACCTGAGTTACATAATCGCATTGAAGGGCATTAGCGCTGACTAGGTCTTAGGACTTGATGCCTGTTACTTGCCAATGGGGTGTCAACCGATACACGTTTAATTTGGAACTTAAACAACTTTACAAAATAAACATATGGATTCAACAAATAAATTGTTTTAAAACTTTTAATTGTGTATATCTGTAAAAAACCTGTTTTGTATGTTTTACACTTTTAACAGACTACAAAGAAACATTCAAATAAACCATGTCAGGGCTTTTATTTTCTATTGGTCTTGAATACCTATTTTTAATAAAATAAATAACTAATTAAAAACTTGTTTTATTTAATTAGTAATAAGTCTAAATTTAGTGAGCTCGGTATATGTTTCTTTCATGAGAACTGAATGTAACACAAAGTCACTTCGCACATCCTCATTTTTCAAGTTATAAATAATAGTTCTTTAGCTATGTCGGGCATGACATGAGTTGCTTTTGCATTTTTGTCAGAAACATTCGCGTCGCGCGCACAAGAAATTACCAAAGTTCTGTCGTAATGGGAGGAACGCATAGAAAATGAACGAAAAAACAAACACATTATATTAATTATTTTATCAGAAGACTGCGGATGTGCACACAATAACTCACCATAGTTTCATCGTTCAAGGATGAATGGTGTTAGGATAAACAAATATTAATTTTTATTTATAAAGATTTTTCCGGTAATATGATCTATTCTTTATCAAACACAAAATACAGATATGTCAGAATAATTAAATTTTTCAAGAAAAGTACTATATGCAATGAAAGCAGACACGATCTATATGATACTTTTTTAGATAATTATTTCACAGAGATTAGCGTAATTATAAGTGCATGCAAAATCCACATCGTTGGTCACTCAGCAAAAAATGAGAGAGCTTGGTTAGGAAATGTTAATGCATCCACCATATAGTCCTGACCTTGCAACCTCAGATTTTTACCTGTTTTAGTCTCTTCAGAATTCTTTGGGTTCATCAGGTTAACATCATTCATCAGGTTAACATCAAAAGAGGCCTGTCAAAACTACTTGTCACATTTTTTTTTCAAAAATCCAAAGTATTCTACAGCAATGGAATTAAGTCCATACCTACAAATCATTGAACAAAATGGTACATATATATTATAATTAAATGTACTTAAACTTTGAAAAAAAATGTCAATTTGTATATACGAAGAAACTTTTTCCCCGACCTTATATTACAAATACCATCTCTTACATCATTGATAACAATAGAATTTAAAAAAAATCATTAATCCTAAAAGAAACTCTCATTGCTTTGAAATGAAAATAATTCACATTTGCACTGTTGTTAAAGTTCATTCAATTTACGAGGTTCCAATTCATAAGCCAAATCTCGTCCCGACACTCGCCGTAAGTGCATTATTGGTGGGTATTTAACAACAGACTGTGGTCCACTCGGTGCGTCTGTAATTGGCTGATAACAGTGTGCTCACCCACATAAACAAATACGTTATAATTATAAATGGGATTTCTCATTGTCTTTTTCATGCGCAGTGGACAGAATTTTACAACAACTCAATATTACTAGTAGACAATATTTACTAGTTATCACCGGATGTCATTCAAAAATCTTGTCTGTTGGGACTTTAACAGCTGAAATTTAAAAAAAAACATGGAATATGTCTTTACTTCGCCATATAGATCAACTTTATACAGCAAAGTAAACCTATGAAAATATATCAAGTTTTTCTCTCATTCGTCCCAGTTTTGCGTATTTTTTCTACAGACTGCATACAGTAGGGTGCACGGAGGACGTAGAGCCTCCGGTATCGTTTTAATTTTCCGCTAGTCTGAAATGTACACAATGTGAATGAAATATCAATTTTAATGAGCTTGAGTTAACTGATCAACAATCTCACTATGAGGTAAAAGAATAATATTTCTTTTATGGCAAATTAATTTTAATTACAGCTCTGAATCAGTTAGATGATCCTGTTGCAGAGTTTAATAAGCAATTATTAAACTAAAACTCTTATGCTATTAATGTTATTATGTTATTTTATCTTAGGAAAATTAACATTTACATAATAATATTAAGCAATCAGAAAAAATATTTTTATTTAAAATGTATCTTAGTCTAATCTGGGCCTTGTCAAAATACAGCCAGATGGATATAATTCAATTAGTTATTAATTGCTTGATAAAGTTGCGTACTTCAACGAGGGGTGTCTCGTTCTATTACCAAAATAATGTGATTTCGGCGATAAAAGTCGACGTAAAAACAATTTTATAAATGGTAAATATATATGAGAAAGTTATTCACTCTATACACGTTTTAAAGAGTAATAAAAATATTTTACAAATGAACTTTAATCTAAAGAACTTTAATCCGCACAATAAAATCACTAATAGAATCAGGCGTTATTTTGCGAACATCTATTATACTAAAGATGGATGTTGTGTCTTTCCTAGTGGTGTTAGGAGTAGTGGTGCTGGGATAAGTGGTGATTGGAATAGTGCACGAAATTAACGGAGGGTGGGAGGTGCTCTTCAAACTAGGAAAGACACATCATTTTATTTTATTATGCGGATTTTAGCTTATTCATTATTACCATTGTAAAAATCACTATACATAGAATGATATGATTAATAATTACGACAAAAATTATACACTATGCAAATGATGTGACTGTATCACACTAGAGCGCGCGCTTTTCGGGGATAATTGAAATGCCGTTACCATTGCAACCCAGTACAGGTTCACTGCTGAATTAAACATAAGCCTTTACAAATATCGCTACAGACCTCGGTCCTGAGCCAACTTCATCCATCGACCATGTCTTACCAGACTGTAACTTCATCCGTTGGGGGCCGCATTACACTCCGTTTATTGGTACGCGGTGGGTATTTGAGAACCTTCCTTCCTCATCAATTATTGGTTCTTAGAGCTATATGGCCGGGCCATTGCAGCTTTTGTTTATCCGATTGATTCGAGTAAATCTGATAAATTAAGTAATTGTATCTAATACAACATTTATTTCCATCCCTCGTCAAATTAATACATCACAAGGGCGTGAGTTTATTACTTGTTATACGTTAATTTTATCCTCGTTGGTCTCGTAGTTGTAAGTGTGATTGTTGATTGGATTCGAGTAACGGGTGGGGCCAAATGGGGGTATTTCTGTCAAGAAAATCTCTGTAGCAGAATGGCGTTAGAAAGTTCACGG